TAATATTTTTTTTTTGAAGAATTTTCCATAGCTAAATCACCAAATGACATGTTCCAGGGATAGACAAAATATAATTGTTTGTCAAAATTCAAATGACATTAATTTTTCGAAAAATAAACCAATTTTGATGTAACCGGATGCATGTGACGGGAAATTTAAAGCAGTTTTAATAAAGCCGGAGTGATTTGAGATTAGTGTGTAATTGCATTTGTAAACAAACACGTCAATCGCCGATTTCCCGCGAATAAACTCTCAATCTCGAAAACTAATAACACTCTGAGGTAGAGGAATGATTCCTCTATCATTTGGGTTTATTTTGTTTATGAGATTGAGCTTTTATTCAAGAGAAATCGGCAATTGACGTGTTTGTTTACAAATGTAAATACGCCCAAATCTCAAATCACTACGGAAATCATTTGAAAATTTATGGTGGTCAGACCAGAGTAGCCTGGGCAAGCTGTGAACATGCAAGATCTACCATTGGCATTGACTTACAAAATCTTGAAGTTTGACACCCATTTAGATATGGTTCCGGTCATGTTCCAAATTGGGCACTTTCCCCGCAGAACCCAGAACTTGCTTGGACTTGTGAGGCTAAAAACGATTCTGGAGACATCGCACTGAATAATCATGAGGATTGATACCCATCCCGAGCAGGAGAAAATAACTTATGAATACCTCATTCTGGCCTGATACCAAAATTTGGTGTTGAAGACAGAAGAGGTAAAATACCAAAGAACAATACCAAAAAATTGGATGCAAAATACTTTGTAAATCGCAAAAATTTATACTTCGACACCAAAAGCATACCTGTGTGGTATCGTTTTGGTAGTGCATTTGCTTCATTTGGTATTGGAATGGTATTGAAGGAATTTTTTTGGGATTATTTTTTGATATTTTTTCTCTTATGTCAGGCTTATGCTAATCCATACAAATTTACCCTAGTACACACTTAATCTAGCTCGGTAAAATCTCCAACAGCCTATTACCTCGGCATTTACTTTTGCTGATATATCTGCAAAATATCTGTTTGTTAGCTGATATATCAGCCAAATGATATTTGTTAGCTGAGTCTCGGCAATTGTTTTACTGAATGTCAGCAAAATAAATTGCAGAACTTCTCGGCAGTTGGAATCTCGGCGAAAAATTTTAAGTGTGTAGCACGCTTGTCACAAATCAATGTAGAAACTTATATACGACTTATTTCAGTCATAAACAAGTTGCTGTAACTTATTGTGATGAAAGTGTGCTACTCGAGTAAGGTATCGAGATCAGGGCCCAACAAAGTCACTTTCAATTGAAAATCTTCAAGCGACGACGAAGCTGTCAACCACCACTTTCAATTGAAACTCATTCTGTCTTCTCTTCGATCAGATCCCCTTCAACATCAACATAACCACTTTCGATCAGTTTTCATGCTGTTTTTTTTTTCTTGACTCGTGTCCATTTTGTCTTTCATTGTCAAATGAACTTACTTTCGGATTGAAGCGAATCTGTTCAATCCAAATTCGCGCAGTTTTTCTGACTTTTGTCGACTGTTTACTCGGTTCGTTTTAGCGCATGCACATTAGACTGATGCAAAATTTGAAATTTTCGCTCCACAGTGCTCAGACGGTTCCAAATTGGGCCCTGATTAGCCTCCCAAAACTTGAACTCATTTAGTAAGAAACTGACTTGGCACAAACCATTTGAAGTTTATATGGAAATTACTATGGGAAAACAAAACTTTTTGTTCATTGTCTTCTATCCTTTTTACATATTGTACTTTTAACAAATTCTATTGCTTTTCTTATGGGAAATTTTATCAGCTACAACTTGCAGAAAATTGTTTTTCAGCCAAACGTCAAATTAAATAGTTATTAATTGTTTAAGAAATTGATAATCTTATGGCAAGATTCAACAACTGTATTGTGGGCAACACTGTATTCTGCAGTGTGACATAGAAGCCATGATTTTTGTCTTCTATTCTACGCGCCATGAACACCAATGTTGCCTGCTGAACAGTTGATTGAGCATAATCATAAGACATCAGTGACTTGAATCATTAATAACTTTTGTTCCTTATATTTGATCGAAAAGTGGTCTTTAACAAAGTAGTAGCTGAGAAAAATTTCAACCCATTCATCAGCTATCATTTTCTAAAGTAGATTGAACTGGTGAATTTTGAGATCGATATGAACCGAAATTATGGTTTCTCCATAGTAATTCCCATATAAACTTCAAATGGTTTGTGCCAAGTCAGTTGGAACCGTTTGAGCACTGTGGAGCGAAAATTTCAAATTTTGCATCAGTCTAATGCACATAGCTCTGTGCACGTGGATGTCAAATTTATCATTGTCGGGTGGTTTATTTACCTATCAATATAGGATGCTGCACGCTGACGTCACGAATGAATGCGATGAACCTGCGTTCATCAGTTTGCAGTGGTGATTTGTTTACCTTTGCCTGTTAGTCGATGCAAGTTTTTAAATAAAAAGGGCTAAAATATATGTTATCCGACAACCACCACCAAATGTCAAAACAAGTTTGGTGAACCCCGCAGTGCAGCTCCCTATATTTTTTTTTTAAATCGGGGTGACGTCTAGAGGCCAGAAATCAATATCCGCCGACATTTTTAAATCCAAGATGGCGGCTTCCGACTTCAGAAAAAGTGGGAAATGCTGATGTCGACCCATAAATACGGTATTTTTGGAATCGGGGTGATGTATAGAGATCGAAAATGGATACCAGACGTCAATTTGAAATACATGTTGGTGGCTTCAATTTTAAGAAAAGTGGAAAATACTGTGAAATACCCATCGATATAGGTATTTTTGGAATTGGTATGATGTCTGGAGACCGCAAATCGATATCCGATTTCAGAAAAAGTGGAAAATACTGTCATGCACCCATCAAGAGTATGAAAATCGATATCCGGTGTCATTTTGAAAGCCATTATGGTGGTTTACGGCTTAAGAAAAAGTGGTAAATTCTATCAAATACCCAGGGTACCGTATACAAGCCGGAAATCGATATCCGATACCATTTTGAAATCTAAGACGGTGGCTTCCGATTTGAGGAAAAGGGTCAAATACCCAAAAATATAGGTATTTTCAAAACGGGGATGACTCGTAGATGCCAAAAATCGATGTCAGACGCCATCTTGAAATACAAGATGGCAACTTCTGGTTTCAGAAAAAGTGGGAAATGCTGTCAAATACCCATCAATGTGTATATATTCAAAATCCCAGTAACGTCTAAGAGGCCAGAAACCGATGTAAGACGCCATTTTAATATCTAAGATGACGGCTTTTGTTCAGAAAAAGTGTGAAATACTGTCAAATACCGATCAATGTGGGTATTTTTGGAATCGAGGTGACATCTAGAGGCTGCAAAATGATGTCCGACGCCATCTTCAATTTTAAGAAGGTGGCTTCCGATTTCAGAAGAAGTATCAAATACCGTACAAATGGCGTCAAATATGGATTTTCCGTTCCGCAAATACCCAAGGGTATTTGACAGTTTTTCTGAAACCCTATGGCCACCATATTTGATTCCAAAATGGCGGCGAACATCGATTTTCGTTCCCGTTCCAAAAATACCCAAATTGTAGGGTATTTGAGACTTTTCCCTAGCCCGATGGCCGCCATCTTGGACTCCAGAATAGCATCGTTAATTTAATTTCCGTTTAATATAAAATAACATTTTATTACTACATATAATCTGGATGCCACCTATATCGGCAAACGATATTCTGCGGATACTATATTTTGATGCCTAACGACGCGACGCGTGACAAGTCGAATGGGAAGCTGATTCGATCAGACCACGAATCGAGTCAGAGACTGAGTCTACCGAGTAACCGAATTCAACGTGTTTCGAAAACTTCGCATTATTGACGATTCCAGTCATTCCATCTCCGAGAGTTCGGGACTTCTCCATGACGGTATCAAAACAATCAAAATAAACTTCTGATGGCACTGTCGCATTCCTTCTGTCCGGGTGCTGCCTGTCTTATGAATTTGTTCGAAAATAAATATTTTCCTTTGAGAAACAGGTTGAAATTGCCCCTTGGCCTGTGTAAAACACGTAATCTCCCATACGGGAGGCATGTGAAAAGTTTCATACAAATCGGAGAGAGTTGAGCACGATTTTGGCTCTTTCTGAAAGAATTTCCCAGGAATAGTTCTAAACGATCTCATGAAATGTTATACAAATAAGAATGTTCTCAATTTGAAGCAATGTTATCGAAGCATGTGTTTTAAAGCTCAATTTAAGTTTAACGGATATGAGGAAAAAAAATCTAACGATTCAAACAAAGGGCAACACACGTCGGCTTAAATCAAGAACTCAACGGAGAACCGGGAAATAACTCTGAAACTTGTTCGACTCTGAACATTGCACTTGTGTCTGCTTTCAGATGTCAGTAAATTATTAATCAATTGTTTTCTTGTATATGTGCTGAATAACGTGTAAAAAACTTGATAGTGACAGGAAACACAATTTAATCACAGTCTTGAACCTTCAATTTCAAACACACGAACTCTTGGAAGCCGGTTATTAATCAAAATGTTTGTTTGTTTTGCTCATCAATTCTACTACAGCCAATCAATGTCAATACCAAGCAGCGGAAAGCATTGTTAGAATCATTATTTCTCATGTTTTTAATGTTGCTTATACATTTTGGGAAGCACTATCAAATTAGTTTCAAATTACTTGCGGTTATTCGACTGAGTTTATTGGTTGAATACAAAAAAAAAATCGGCCACCGAAACAAAAGGATATTAATCACAACATTTGAACTGACAGCTCAACAACGATTTCGATAAATAAGTTTCAATAAATATAGATAAGAAAAATTATCACAAGGTTGTTTAGTTGTAGATTCAAGAAAGGATTAAACTGGATAGACAAAAACAGAGAAAGGGCAGAAGTGTGGTTTCTTAGATGGAAACAGATGTTTATAGGGAAAATAGTAGCGGAAGGGGTGAAGAAAACGAATACGAAAAAAAACAACATACCTTAGCGCTATCTTTCAAATCATTCATAGCCGGGTCGTTAATGGGTTTACCAGATGCAAGCTTAGTAGCGTTTATTAGCTCACCGAGTGCTGCAGCGACATCTTTCACCGCGTTCATCACCATCACTTGCGAGTCCGGTTGGTTGGAACCGAGCGAGGCCGCACCGTGCTTGACAGCCTCCGCCAGTTGCACTGAAAATAGCAAAACATTCTTCGTCAACAACACTACCAATACTTCCGAGATGAAACTTACAAATCGTAGTAACAGCATTCTGCGCTGCGGCCGCGAGTTGATCTTGCGTTCCGGCAGCACCCGCCACCAGAATCTTGGTGTCCTCGACCAAGGCCTTGGCAGTCTTCAGAATGTGCTCACGGTGATCCGAAAACTTGCCCTCCTCTTCAGAGTGCAGAGTTCCAGCCGTTGCAAACATGATGGTCGTATCCAGATCACTGATGATGGCTGAAACAGTGCTGGACGCATTAATGCAAGCCTGAGTTCCACGGGAACCTGCCTGCAGTGCGGCCAGCACTTGCGAAACCTTTTCAGAAACATCCCGAGCTCCGCGGGAAATCTCAACCAGTCCAGAGCTATCGTCCTTACGAATACCGGCCGTTGATTGGATCAGCACGTTCACAGATCGTCCCAAGTCCGTAACTGTTTGACGAATACGTATTGCCACGTCCGGGGATGTGGTCAAAGCGGATGCACCGATCGAATCCTGAGCCAATTGACTGTAGTGATGAGTCATTTCAACGGACAGTTGAGCCAGCTTTGAAGGATCAATGGCTGCCTTGGCGTTGATCTCATTTGCATAACGGGCGATCTCCTTGGCCGACTGAACCATACGAGTCTGGTAGTCCACAAAGTTATCATTGATAGAAACACCCAGGAAGGACTGGCGCTTGTCGGTGATGCGGGACATGGAACGAGAGATTTGCTCCATCAAACCAGTGACAACTCCGTTTTCAGTAGATAGACGTTCAACTGTAGCATTTAGCTCTTGGATTGCTTCACGAGTGGACTCAACGGCTTCGTCCAGCTCCGGGTGAAGATGTGAAGCACGAGGGTTTCCACCAGCATTCTTAGCGACCTGCACCAACTGCGAGCAGCATTCGACAACGGATTTAACCTGATCGATGAGTACTGTCTGCTGTCCCGAATGAACCACGTGGGAGCAAGCTCCGATAACTCCATTGGTCAGTGGAATGATATGCTTCGCGATCTGGTTAACAGCATGACCCAAGCTTTCTGCATTCTTCTTGGCAGAAGACTTGACCGGTTCCAAACGGTCGATCAACTCCGAAGCAGCGTTCAACGATTGATTGGTGAATCCCTGCAGGTTGTTCTCCTTACGCTGTGGAAGACCATCCACACCGACCGCCAGGGCAGCTGAGTTGAGGTCTCTCGAGCAGGATTTCAACATCTCAAGAACCTGATCACACTGTAGTTGTCCTGGGGCCTTCTCACGAATACTGGATGCCAATTTCTTGATGCTTTCGGAAACATTCCGGCTGTGGATGGCCAACTGTTGCCATACCGGAGGATCAGTAGGCGTCATTGCCAAGACTTTGGCCGTTTTCACCATATCGACTGCTCCATCTAGAATTCCTTGTCCAGCTTGTAGAATTGGTTCCTGTGCTTTCCTTCCATCACTGGAAATCCGAGCCGGAATGGAAATAAACTCCGAAGAATTAGCGAACTGACACAACGAAGAAACCGCTTCCAGTAGTGGCTCGGTAGCTCCGGCGCAGCGAGCTCGTGAAACCGGACTGTAGTCCTTGTCTAAGGCCTTAATTTCACGAACCAAATCGGCCGTCGAGTTGGCGACTTCCTTCGCAGCCTGGACGAAGTGACGCTTCGCCACAGGATTGGTGGTGGTCGAGCTTGCATTGCGACAGGCATTGCAAAGAGCAGATGTATGCTTCGCGATGATAGTAGCAGCAGACAAAACTTGCTGTTGCGAACTGGCTGGTCCACGCAGGACTTCGCAGCTTTGGCGAATCGCTTGCGAAGCCCGAGCGAACTGAGCTTGATCTACCAATCCGGGACGTCCACCGACGCTTGTCGGATTGGAAATTCCCACCAGATAGGCTGCTTGGGCTGCTGATTCGATCAGACCACGAATCGAGTCGGAGACTGAGTCTACCGAGTGACCGAATTCAACGTGTTTCGAAAGCTTGGCATTATTGGCAATTCCAGTCATTCCATCTCCGAGAGTACGGGACTTCTCCATGACGGTATCCAAACAATCAAAATATCCCTGATCGGTCAGCGGTTCTTGTGCGGATTCCAGAAGCGGTTTTAAAGATTCGATACTTCTGATGGCACTGTCGCATTCCTTCTGTCCGGGTGCTGCCTGGGTGCAAACATCAACCAAACGGTTGATGCTCTCCGTTACCATACGAGCAGCCGAAGACAGTTCGTTCTTTGCGTTGGGCCTATCTGGATCTCCGGCTACGAATTTGGCCGTTCCAAGAAGTGTGGCCGACTGATTGGAAACTCCACGCAGTGAATTGACAATCTCTTCTCGAGCTCGGTCTTCGACGGTTTGTCCGGCCATTTCCAAAGTAACGGTCATCAATTCCTTATAGGCATGGTAGAAGTCCTGACTGGTGTTGGCTAACTTGATGGAGCTATCGTAAGAATGTGCGACCTGACCGCCGACAGTGTTCAAATTTTCCGCTGCACTCTTCAATTCGTTCTGCAGCTGACCATAAGCACGAGTAGGCGGAGGGAACTCTCCAGTGTCTAGAATGGCACGAAGATCGGCCATGTTCTCATAGGCTTCGTTGATATCCTTCACACCGGGGAAGCAGTCGATAGTTCTGCCCAGCGAACCTTTGGTTCGTTTGATCGCCTGGACTAGTTGATCTTGATTGCCGAGGTTCTGCAACGTCTTCTGAGCTTCCTCGATCACTCGGATCGAATCCATTATCACTTCATCGGCACATTCGACAACTACGGGGTTTTTAGTTGTGGCTACCACTCCACGGACGCTCTTGGTGTATTCTCCTAAGGCAAGGGCAGCATCCCTTCCAGCTACTCCAGCATAGGTTCGATTACTCTGTTGAACGGCAGACATGAGTTGATACAGCGAAGAATCGACGTTGTTGCTGGCGGCAGCCAGTTGTTTGAAGCAGCTATCAGCCGTCTCACCTGGTAAAGGTCTCAAATTACCTTCCTGACCGGCGCGACGAGTGTCGTTCAGGACGTTTCTCAGGTTGCGAACAGCTTCCAAAGCAGCATCCAACTCGTTGCCTCCGCAAGCCTCCCTTGCGCGATGCGCTGCCGATCGAAGGTCATGGATTGAGTGACTTAGATTCAAAGCACTACGAGACAACTGCTGCGAAGCAGCCTGGTCCATTACGGTCGGTTGAAGATCGCGAGCCGATTGGGCAACTTGTGCACCTGGTTCCAAAAACATCTCCGCGGCGTCAATCAAACCCAGCTGGGCATTTGGATCATTCGGTCGGGAGAGGGTATTCTTGACACCAGTGACTAGGCGTGGAATTTGGTCCGCAACGGTTTGACAGTCCTGCAGTAAGATCTCCTTGGTCTGGACGTCGTTGCTGTGCATCAGGGCGTTCTGAGCAGCAGTGATGCATTGAGTAGCAGCTGAAGCTGCCTGCTTGGAGCATTGTTCAAGTCGATTGATCAGTTTGCGTTTGATTTCCGGAGTGTTGGCGGTGGTGGTGGTGATCACTCGCAGTTCTTCTGCTGCTACACGTAGCGATTCCTGATGACCCGAGTCGTGGGGGTTACTAGCGCAGAGGCGGGCAGCTTCCACCATCCTGGCGGTGGCATCCGCGAGCTGTTTGGCAGCCTCCAGAAGCTTGCGCTGGAGATTGGAGTCTTCTTGGCGTTCGGCTTCACCCTTTATGGTCTGGATAAGTTGAGCCGTAGCTTTACCTAGTTGTTGAGCTTGACGGATCATTTCCTGCGGGTCGGATGCGGAAACGAGGATGTCCGTGGCAACCAGGACGTCTTCGACGGGGTTTTCATCAACGCGACGGGCTTTTTCGCGGGAACTCAGCTTGATGTGCTCAAGGAGTTCTGCTAGAGTCTTGGATACGTCCTTGGCGGCATTCATGAGGTCACCACGGAGCTGCTGGTTATCGGTAGCTTCGTTACATACTTCAACGAGATTAGCAACCGCTTTGGCGACTTCCCGGGCGGCGGATTCCAGCTGCTCACGGCAAGCTGGACTTTGGATCGTCGGAGCGACTACGCGGGCACAGGCAACCAACTGGCTAGTAGCCAGAGCGCATTGACTGGCAGCGGCGATCACTGGAAAGATTTGAGGGAATATTAGTGATCGTTTCTACAAGAAGCATGTGATTGATCCTTACCTCTGTTCCTTGTAGCTTCGTCTTCTGTAACGGCGGCAATTGATTTGGCCTTCAGGACCAGGGCCGCCGTAGTGTTGGCCACAGCCTTGGCCAATCCCAGTAGCATATCGTGCAACTCCCGACTCTCCATGCTCTCCTCACCCATACTACTGAGTACCTGTCCGCTGGCCTCGCCAACCCGACTGGCAGCGTTCAGCAGATTCTGTCGCGGTTCCTTACTCTCTGGTTCTGCCGATTTCAACAGATCGCTGAACGCCGAGCAGAGTTTTCTGGTTGCTTCCAGTAGCTTATCGCCGGTACAGTCATCATCCATCAAAGCGGCGATCAACCGAACTTCCTTCGTGACCTCCGGAATGCTTTGGGTGATCTGCGACACTGCAGCCCCAACGGCATCGTGATCGATTTCATCCGGTTGGGAGGCCGTGACGACCTGCGCCGTAGCGGCATTCATCGTTGCCAGATGGGTGGTGACGGTTTGCTTGGAAGTGTCCAGGGTTTCTTCACGCCACTGTAGCGAGCCTGGATCCGTTCCCAGAGCAGGCAGTTGGGCCTTGCTCTCCAGGTCTTTTTCTGCCTTGTTGATGGCATCCTGACCGGCCGAGATGTATCCGATGAGGGCCCGTTGTGGCTCCGAGAGGACCGTACTGATGCGAGTTTGCTGCATCTGCGTATGCACGGGAGAAACAAGTAGCATTTGAATCGATGTTATAGGGGAGGAGTTGGTATTAGTTGGGTGCCAACTGACTAAAGCTAGTTTTTTGTTGTATTATGCATGCCAATCAAGCTACTTAAATAATTTGGAATGAGAAAATTGCAATTCACCTACGCCTGTGCAGCGGCGAGTGTGTTTGAGGTTAGTTTGTCAAACGAGAGCAGCGTGTAAGAGGAAAAATTGATTCAAATTACAATTATTGTATCTTGGGTTAGGAGTGTAAATGCAATGACGTTGATTTTTTTAGTAAGTAAACTTAAGTCAAGTAAAAATTAAATTAAGAAAAAGAAAGAAAAGTCTCACCATTGGTGGTTGATGGGCCAGGTTGACTTGTCCGACGATGGCACCGTACTGCATCGATTGCATCTCCCCCGTGCCATATGGACGTTCGCCTGAGTGGCGTTGACCCCAAGAGTTTCAAATTAAACAGCAACATAAATATTAAGGGAAAAAAATAAAATGAAAACAAAATTCAATCAAATGAAACATATTTCACTCGCTGATGTGCGGTGGCAACATAATGGTAACAGATAATGATATAATGAAATAGAAGAAATGTCCAGATGGATGGATGGATGGGTTGGACAGACACATGTTTGGTCGTGCTCGTGCCCATGTATAAACGCATGAGGGTGGACTGTTGTGTGGGTGGTGTTGTCAGACTCCAATTCGAGCTCTGTTGCAGTGATGGACGGCTAGCATCCTTTCTACATTATTATCAGAGCACCTTTTGTGTGCTCACTGGAGAAAATGCGAAGAGCAAAAGAGTTGGTCGCGGAACAGAGGAGCACCATGGCGGTTGATGAATGCTATTATTTCTGACATCCACAGGTCACAGACCACTGGTGGCCATGAAGGAAAAGAAGGGAAATCAGTTTTGTGCCAGCTGGTGAACTTTTTGATGTCTACATGGATGATGCTCATGATGGATGCCCACTGTAGACTGTTCCAATACGAGATCAACCCTTTTGCTCTTTTCTTAAAATTAGAAATCTAGGATTTAGTCTACACTTACCGTCGTATCCGCGCATAATGGCTGGTTTGGCGATCGATTGCGTTTCCACCTTGCCGGAAGGAGTCGTTTCCTCATGTTGCAAGAAAGTGGCCCTGTGAGAGATTGATGAGTTGACATGAATACATAGTAGTGAAAGGTGAATCGATGATAGTACACGCGAAATAATCGACACGTTGAAACTACGTGAAAAATCACGTAAGCTCTCTCTTTTTCCACTCCCCTCAGTTTTACGTGAATCACGTAGAATGTATGTGACACTCCTTGAATATCAAAGGGAATTCCGATTAATCACACATACTTGAGCAATGCAATTTACGTGATTTTCTCATACACGGTTTCTATGTGCGTTTCACGGAAACCTTGTGTGATTTCCACATCTGAAAAAAAGAGTTCTACATTCAGAGTGGTACAAAGTATGGCGGCATCGTAATGTGCTTATGTCCGTTATTTTTGTAATTTTTTTTTTTTTGTTTATTTCTAATGATTATCAAACATACCGTGCCGATTCAAATTTCGGACACTTAAACTCGAATTTCGGACACTTTTAAAAGTTGATTATCTCGGTCGAATATGATCCACATGTCTTGTAAATTTTAAATTTTTTTGACTAGTGCCCTCCACGATCATCTAACATTATTACTTTGTTTCTAACTGGATGTAATATTTAATTAAAAATGAAAGTGTCCGAAATTTGAATCGTCCGAAATTTGAATCGGAACGGTACATTGGCTGTTTTATTGTGTTCAATAGGAAGACGGCAAACGATTTGGCAGTGAAATGAAAATTCGTCCAATCCCATTGCTCGTATCGCCAGGATGGTTTAGGATCCATATAGGATATCGGCGTCGCGTGCCTCATTTGTTTACCTGTGCACCAAGCTTTGTTCGTTATAGTTTACCTCTACATGTTAGTTTTTGTTTTATTTTTCAATGCTCCATGAATTCGAGCGACATATTCTCCATCACTATATTAATCACTACCTAACGTAACATTTGAAGAACCTATCATCTTGTATAAACAAAACTTGTATGGCCCTTTTCATGCTAACCGAAGTAGGAGGAATTGCAAAACTTAACTAATTCCAGCTGAACATTGCATTAGGTTCTAAGTAATATTGATCGATTCTCTTAGTCGACTTTCTATTTCGTTAATAACTTGAGCACATAACCATTTCTTGTTGTGTTTGTCGTTTTAGATACTAGATAAAAGCTTCTTTTATCGATTTGCGTGCTGAAAATACTTAGGAATGTATTTACATGGCCGTGGAGATACAAAGAGAAAGTCGACGGAGAGAATCTGTCAATGTTAATTAGGACCTAATGCAATGTTCAGCTTGAATTCTCGTTTTTATCACAAGGCTAACTCTTTCGACTGAAGTGTAATGAAGAATATCCGTCAAACACTTCCGAAAACATTTTTTGATACAAAACAATGTCAAAATCTAGAGAAAATTCATAGTGCCCTGGGTAGCGAACTTGAATTAATCAGCTCTTTATTCATCAGAACAACACTATCAGAATGAACCAGGGAAAGCTCATAAGTTTTGACAGGCGCACCGGCGCAACTATTGGTAATTGAGAGATTCGCAACTGACAAGAGAGTGAGAGCGGGCTTTTGCGCTCTCTTTCTCCATTACTCTCTTTGTCTTCAATCAGATATCCAAGTGCACAGCGAGAAATGCACACTTTGGGCACCCATACATCACAAAAGTTCTTCTTATTTAAACTCACACATTCAAACCGTTCTACAAGTATGATAACGTCCAAAGCGTACCAGACTACTGTTTCCGTGTTGCTCCCGTTTGACGCGTGACTGCTGAATGTTTCAATTACAACTAGTGGTGCAAACCGCCATGTATTGTGGAAAATTTGTGGTATGTTTCAAGAGGTGATAGAAGGTCTGCTTGGCTTACATCAGGCATTTGGCCATTCACAAACTTGCCACCCGCCACCCAAAATAGCTCGCTTTTAGGTGCACTATTTAACGAGTTTTGTCATGGTAGCGTTATCGACATGCTTAGAAATCAATGCATTGGGGATTAGGCAGACCATCCCAACTGAATTTAACCCTTTTTGAAGCAAACCAAGGTCGAAGATTTAATTGAACCACACTATAAAATAGTGTATTCATGGTCACTTGTGGTCTGGAGTAAAGAAGTACAGCTATAATGTGACCATAAAATCTATAAAAATCTGAACGCACTTTTTTTTTAAATTATTTACGCCTGTGTCGTGCACAGGTTGCACATGTGGACGCGACGCCACTGCGATTGTCATTTTAATTACTTGTAGATGGAGCTGGGCGGCTCACGATCGATTGCAATTGCTTGCTCGTGTTACTGAAGAACGTGAATAGAGCACCAGCACTTAAAGAACAATTCAACACGTTCTTAGGATAATGTGAGCTGCTTTGTCACATGAAGCTAAACAAGATTGCGATCAACGAAGATCCACAAAGATTTATAAACGGCAACATACGGATTAGCTCTGTTTCTTTTCTTGGTCACGATTATCTAGATTATCGGATATATTTAGTTGTACAAGCTCTGTTCGAATTCGGAAGGATTGCTTTAGGAGTTGTCGGATTCAACTATCAATGCAGTGGTCAAGACTCGGGTTGTGGCCTGGCGTCCACTGGAAGATTGTTTAACACTCATTGTTCTAGTGGACACTCCCGTTGGATCGAATCGACCTACTAAGAGGATGATTTTCAGTCAGATTGTGAAGATTTTAGATTCATTGGATTCATTGGAGTCCTGTGGTAACGGAAGCGAAGTTGGTGATGTGGGAACTGTCGACTCTTAACGTGAATCAGGATCAACCAGTGTTCATTAATATGGAGAATCTTTGGAAAGACCTTCAATACCAGCTACACTGTCTAAATGAGTTGAAAATACTGAGATGGATCCTTTCGAATAAAGCATGTACTTTATAGCTCGATAGAATCCGACTTGGCATATTTATGTCGCCTATCTTCTCGGTAGGCCAGAGAAAAAAGATGGATTATCCAGCTTGAAGCTGATTCGAAGTAAACCAAGTATTATTCTGAGAATAAAAGGCAAGCACCAACCGTAAAAAAAGAACGATAGAGGTACAACGATAAAAATTACCATGGGATTTTTTGTTTCTACAATAAAATCTATGGTAAATCTGAAAATCTACAATAGAACAAGGGGTTGTTATGTATCTTAACAGTACAAAAAATCACATTTTCCTGAACAAACTTGAGCCATTTACCATGCATTTTATTCATTCTATATGGGACGTATTGTTTATCTATTGTAATGACAAGATTTTAAATTTACTTGTATGATATAGGGGAATGGCTCTAATATTGGCCTAAAGACCAATCATAGGCTCATCGTTAAAAATCTGCTATTTATCAATTTTATCTAGATGAACGCGTTATTGGGACGGTACTAATGGATATTTTTGATCGCTATTGAAAATTTAGTGGATTGCCGAATTTATGTATGAGCTCAAATTAGAGGCATTTAGGCCGACATTACATCCATTTCCCCTACATGCAATATGATCGATTGTTGGCAATAGATTTTATTGTGATTTTATATTATTTTATGGTAATTGTATGGTTATTTTTTCCGGGTACGCTGCGAGCGCGGAGGTGTTAGTGTGTTATCCTCTAGTATTGCTTACTGGCAATGAAGCAGTTAGAAGCCCTCAGTGACCCTTTCTACGTGACGTTACAAAGATTTTTGCCTTTGTTCACAGTTTTTGTGCTGTATCTCAAAAAAAAAGTGACTTAGAAAGTAGGTCAATTTACCTACGCGAATTGATTAAAATTTTCTGATTTGAGTAGCGCAAAACGTTTTGGTGAGCAGTGTAGTTGAGAAGTGCAAAACGTTGTACCGTCACTCAACATAGTCTCTCACTAAATCATTTTGAGCTACTCAAATCATACCCGTTTGACCAATTATTATAGAAAATTTATCACATTTTCCTAATCAGCAATAATATTTAAGGGATAATTTTCATTTTTTTTTCAGTGCGAAAACTGTCAGAAAATCAGCCAAAAACGTGAATACCTCCTGGTAGAATGTGTCTGATTCTGTTGAAATCAAATGATGTTCCTTTCGACTATGAACGTGATACGTCAAGTGAACGGTTTTTTTGTGGTGAGTAATTGGATTTGAAAGTTTGATGGGAAATCAAAATCTAATATTTTTATAAAATATTTGAGCATTTCAGAAATATCAATAGTTTTATCTGTTTTATAAATACTGGGTTCAATATCAGACTGCTTTCAAACAATTCGAGCTAGTCTCAAATTCGGGCTAGTGGCGTTCGGGCAAATGTTACTGAATCAGCCTACAGCCGTAAGTAAGCCCATATTCCGCTTGTTCACAATTTTTTCTTTGTACTTGCTACTAAAATTAACTCTTCGACGACGATAATTTGGCAAAATTATCTCTTATGTATTTTGAAATAAATATACACACGAGCTACTCACTTTGACGGTGCAACGCTCTCCTCCACCATGGTGGACCCTTCGTCTCCTTCGATCCCGAAATGGTCCTTGGCCTGTTTCTTCTTCAGAATGATATCAATATATCCGGCAATCAGTTGCACAATCTGCTCCGCCTCTGTCGTCTGCACCGAGTAGTACTGATCGGCATAGTCTCCGAAGTCCAGCGTAAACGTATTCGGTGAAGCACCCCAACGGCGAACCGTCGTTAGTGGCCACGTTTTCAGAATTTCTTTCGTCAATTCGTCCAGCCGCAGTACGGAGCTCTTGGTAACACCCAACAAACGTGGGACCAGCTTGTTCTTGCCGGTCATCTTTTCCTTCACCAGGAAGAAGGTAACACCGTACGTTGGGAGCTCCCGAGCTGTTTTGGTGTACAGATACTTGGCATCCAGATCCGACAGGCCAGCGTGTCGCCGATGTTCAGCAAACACTTTCTTCTCGATGCTCTTGACGCGGACGTACGATGCCGGTAGAAACTCGCGGAGACTAATTTTCAGGGAGAAATCATAAGATTAGTTAAGGATTGTTGAAGAAAAGTCTACCCATACTTACTCCAAAAATCCTGGTTTGTGCTTCGATTCGTTATGATCGCCGAACTGGATCTGTACCTGAATGCCAGCGAACTCGCATGCTTTCTCCTGAGTTACCGGATGAGTGCCATCCAAGATGGCATCCCTGGCCTGGACGTACAGCAGATTTAGCTGAACTGGATCCCTTGAATCAATGTTCTGATCCGAGTAGAAAAACTTTCGCCTCAGCAGTACCGTTTCCGATTCGTCTATTCCTTGCTCCCTGAGAGTTTTCCCAACATCGACCCAATGGATCTCATCGTCAGTTCGGAGCTTCTTCCTCAAGCTTTCCATCTTGGCATCGCGTTCCCTTTCGGCAACCTTCCTGCGCAGGGTCAACGTGCCCATATTCGACTTGTTATCCGGTAGGTTTTCATTTTGCGATTCCGGATCTTCCCGCACCAGTCCGTACTCTTCGTGGTTCGTGATACCGATCTTGGTACAGATGACCACCATCAGCTGCGAAACCGGTTGGGAGTCGTCAACCAAAATCGTTTTGATTGCACCGTCCAACATCCGAACCCGGAGGTTCCGGTGCTTCCTTCTGTATTCCAGCACATCGTGATTTCTCAGCAGGTAGTAGCCGAGGTTCCGTGCTGGTTCCAGCCAGACGCCCTGTCGGGTGTCTTCATCCGCCAGGAACAGTCCAAATTCCTGTGCTTGTCCCTGAACTGCTTCGGCGAATTTGTCCTTGATAATCCGGCAGGCGTCGAAGACGGTCGTGTTCGGGTCGAACTGAATCGTCTTTGTGACCCGACCACCCTCCAGACTGATTCGTAACGACAGCGTCGACATGGTGGTGGTACTTTGATGCTGGTGCTGCTGCTGACAACGGCAGACGGCGACGGTCCGCGAGTGACACTGTGCGCGAAAGAGATAGAGAGAAAGTGGATCGAAAAATTAGATTACGGACAAAAATCGATAAATTTAAATGCGGATTTTGCTTTCGTCTTTTTTGTATGTTTCTCCCGTCATTCTACAATGGCATAAATCAGTATTGAAAAGGAGCTCAAGCGTTGCTGTTTGTTGGGTGCTGCTGCTGCTACCTACTGACTATGGAATTGGTCCTAATGACAACGCCCATGCCAATGACGACAGATTGATAATGTAGGGCGGGAGGAGATGGGGGTGACAGCGAACAAGATATGAATGATGGGCGAGCGTTGAAATGAATGTTGTATGGTAAGGGAACGTAGGCGTTTTGCAATATTCTGACTAGCAATGATCCAACCTACTCACGACGCTGGTCCAAATTCTTTCGTCAGCCGCAGGTGCTACCCAGAGTGGGTGGTGGTTTGGAAAAGTTTCCCATAAATCGTGTTTCTTCTACTAGCTTTTCTCTTCCCTCCGCTTATGCACGGCGGTATAATGAGTGAAATTCCAAGAAGGCTCCACCACCGGTAGATTATTCAAATCAAAAAACGGAGGAGTAATCGTTCTCAACATACACCGCCAACCGGCATACTTTTTCAAACATCCCTAGCATGAGCGAAAATCTAGCGAAAAATTCATCCAGCACGTGCGGCGTGGCGCGTCGTTGGCGGCGATGATAGCAGCCCAAAGCATCCAAGCCTTCCCAGATTAAGGTAATTTAATACCGTTGAAAGCTCTCAGCTTTATCGTTTAGTCACTTGCAGCTTCATTTGCCGGCAGGCGCCCTTCTTCCGTGGAAAAGCTACCGCGGGGACATCCGGGGCGCCAAAATAGCAACGTGTAATGAAAACTCATTTGGATCATTGGCATTAGGGACCCGAGTAAAAATGTATCTATGTTGAGATTAAATATACTGTCAGCAGTACAGTATCAATTTAACAAAGCAGCTGTTGTTGTTGTTGTTGTTATTGTTGAAAATTAACTTAAGTATGTATTCGTTTAATAAAGTTTCAAAATTATGTTCTATAATAATTTGGATTCGGGGCCCACCTCCCAGTCCTGTATTTCCATTTTCACGACGTGGAATGCTAGAGAAAGCAATATACCTCCGAACTCGAACCAATACAAATAGGGAAAGGTGAGGCAAAAGTGCGTTTCGGGGTTTTCGGAGCCAGTTCAAAATAACAATAAATATATCAAGCGTAGCTATTCAAATTGACGTATCTGCTTTTGTAAACAATCACTCCAATCGACGATTTTTGTCTTAACTGCTAACTCACCCACGCAAACAAACACCATCATCAGGTAGGGGAATCTTTCCTCTACTAGCTGGTGTTTTTAGTTTCTGTGAGTGAGCCAGCAGTTGCCACAAATCGTCGATAGAAGTGGTTGTTTGCAAAATCAGATACGTCGATTTGAATAGTTACGCTTGATATGAAATATTGCACTGACTTCGATAACCTCGAAACGCACTTTTGCCTCACTTTCCATATTCGGGATCGGAGATAAACATATTGCTTTCCCATCCGCTCCAAGTCGTGGAAAAGAAAGTACTAGGAAGATTGTTTGGAACTTTTTTGGATGGTACCTATATATGAGAACTAGACTCTTCCAAAATAAAATCTCAAAAATTGTTGATGTTGTAAAATTAAAAATTGCATCATTTCTAGATCAACTGTTGAAATGGGCGCTCTAACAGATACTGGTCAAGTGGCAAAACTTCCCAAAAGCTGACATAAAGTTTGTGAACCTTTGTCCCACTGCTTAATTGAACTTTTGCCGCCTTTCTTTTGAACACTAAGGTTCTGCGAAAAAAAGTAACGAATCCTGTGTATGGCATCAATTTGAGATATTTCGTGTTTTTATTCTGCTATGGTTGAACATTTGCCCCACCTTACTCTATGTTCTTGGAAGGTTTGTGTTTTGTCACGTCGTTTTTCGCCAAGCATATTGATCTGGTTTTACTACGAGGATTTGCTGACGCAGTAGTAGAATTTTGCTTTTCCTTTGCTGCTTTCTAGTATAATCTTTTTTTGCCAATTTTGCTCATCGAAATTGTACCGAAACGCTATGATGTCGGTGGAAGAATCAGCTTTGCTATCGAAGATGACGACTGAACTGATTCTGATGAAATAGGTGCTATCTTGATCGCTATTGGTGCTACCTTATTCGCTTTTGAACTTCTTTTGATGTCGCTATTGAACTTCGTCCAAATTGTTGGATGACTGGTTCTGATGGCATAGTCATGTAAGAGGCTTGTCATAAACCACTTAGACAATTTGGGGAGGCTGGTGGGCCTGGCGATAATTAGTATGGACGATTGTCTACGCAGGGGGAGGGGAGTCTAGAATCTCTCAAAACGAGTCTACGTGGTTTATGGCCAGCCCCTAGAGAAACCAAGGGGACCTGTAGGAGAAAAACACGCCTCACCGCTAGAAGGATTGATCTAAGATTTTCTAAGAATTTGATTGAGGAAATCCCCTGTCTGCAAATTCTCTTCACTTTCGCAGAGGGTGATTGATAGGAAAAGCGAAAGTTTGGATTAGGCAAACCGGAAAAAGGGTCTGATGGCAGATCAAAAATAAAGGGGACATCAATAATGGTAGAATACGATGGATTACCTTCGTCTTTTAATTGAATACCGTGTGGGACCAAAATTCTTACACCAGATGGAATAAGGTATGGTTCTATGAATTACACTTAGACTCACGGACTCTGATCCCGCACGATAAAGAGTGCTTACTCGATTTTTAAATGGTAAATTGATTTAAAAGTACAATTTGTGAAGAGACATTAGGCCGAACGCCAGTGAATGATTTTCTCAAGCATGGAAAAGGAAGACCGGGTAGATGTTTCCAAGATTTATTAATTAAACTTCCAGAAGAAAGTCACTGGATTTCTATGGAAAATCAAACGTTGGATAGTGTTTCCAGTGTCCGGCCAATTTTGGTAACCTGAGAATCAGCAAACAATAGATGATTCATTCCGGAAATTCCCGGGAATCAATAGACATTTGTATTTAGGGGCTCTTCATAAACTACGTAGACAGTTTAGTAGGGTTGACAATTATCCACGGCCCATACAAATTTAAAAAAAAAATTGTATGGACAATTGTCTACGCAGGGGGAGAGGGGGTCAAGAATCCCAAAAAACGGTCTACGTAGTTTATGAACAGCCCCTTAGTGACCAGATAGGTAACTACAATATTTTTTTAATAGACATTCATCAGAATGTTCTTTTTTTAACTTCTCACGAACCATCCATGACCCAGACAATAGTTTCAATCATTTGACTTTCCCCGGAAGATTCTTCTGTATTACCCCCGGGTAATTTCTTGAAAATTCATCCAAAAGTTTTGTTTGGACTTTCCCGGAAGATTGTAACGATTTCCCCGGAGGGTCTCATCGAAAATATCTTCCAACTTTTCCTTACAGTAGTTTGTTCGCCTTTTTCGGAAGTTTCATCCAGAAGGCTTTTGAGCTTCCGCTGAAATTGACTTCCAACTTCCTAGGCTGTTTGATACTCTTTCACGGATAGTTCGCCGACTTCTTCCAGTAGTTTCTGCTGACTTTTGCCATAATTATTTTTTCCCAAGAATATCTTTCAGTTACCTGGAAGTTTTTTTCTTTTCTAATTCATGAATATTCATTCAACTTCCCCCGAACGATTTTGTCAAGCCAAAAGATTAAGGCTTCCCGGAGAGGTTTCTATTGACATTCACCGGAAATTTCCTCTGAACCCCGAAAACTTATTTTAACATCTCCAGAAAGTTTCCTCCATCTTTCCCAGAGAGTTTCTTCCAACTGCCATATTTCAAGTTTTCCCAGATGCTCATTTTTTTCTTCCTCTGGAAGTTCGTCCAGGATTTAATCGGCAGTTTTTTTCGATTTCTACTGGAAAGTTCTTCCACGGACCCCCTGACTTCCCCTGAAATTGGACTCCGACTTCCCATTTAGAAGATTTATGTGACCACTCTTGGAAGATTCTGCAGAATTTTCCATGAACCATCCTACAACTTAACCTGTAGTTGTTGTCACCTTCCGTGGGAAGCTTCTTTAAACTGTCCGGCTTCTTTTTGAAGTCGGGAGAAAATGGAGACGAACAGATCAAGCAGAGGAAGTTTCACCCAAGAATGTTGGACCAGCAATGATAAGAACGGTCCAAGGTAATATCACAGACAAGCAAACGTCACTCTTTCTCTTCAATCGTCGTACACGCATTTCCGGAGTGATTTGAGATTTGGGGGTAATTTATTGTGTAAACAAACGCTTCACTTGACGATTTCTCGCGAATAAAAGCTCAGCCTAGAAAATTAACAACACAAACAGGTAAAGTAATCATTCATCTAGCATGTGGTGAAATTTGAGCCCGAGATTGAGCTTTTATTCGCGAGAAATCGGCGATTGATGTGTTTGTTTACAAAAGTAATTACGCCCAAATCTCGAAGTACTCCGAATCTAACGTTTAATTTAAATATTATTAGTTGTGTGAATCCCCCACCACAGCGCTGGAATCAGATCATTTTATCGTTTCAATGCATTCTCTCAAACTGTATGAAAGATTTTTCAACTTGGCAAGCATGCTTTTTTGCACGAATAGCTCGCGAGATGTCGTTAGTGAGTTCCATAATGATATATTTCTGTTTGTCTGCAGTAATATTGAGGAGAATTCTAAGTATTCCAAAGGAATTTTAAAGAGACTTTTTAAGCGAACTCTCGAAGGGTATTCCAATTAAATCCGATGGGATTTTCAAGAGAATTAAATAGAAAATAACAAACTAATTCTGAAAAAAAATCTGAGTCAAATGGAAATTCGAACGATGGTTTAATATAAGTAGTGGGGAGAATTCTAATAGAATGCTAAAAAGAAATGAGGAGAATTCTAAGGAAAACTCCAAGGTAATTATACGGGAATTATTAATATGTTTTTAATATTGCTAGACGGTGCCTAGAGTGCTACAAAGAAAATGGCAGAGAAAGTCCCAATCT